CGACACGGATTTGAGTGATGATCCCTCACATTTTTCTCTGTTACAGTAAATTGAGGCTTAATAATTAATAATTGTATTTTTTTATAAAAAAATAGAGAACCTTAAGAATAATTACATATCATTAGTAGAGGCGAAACCGGTTAGTTCATGGTCGTTTTGATTTCTTATTTATTTTCCTTTATTACCTATATTTGATTACTATTATACTACACGTAACTCAATTGATGATTTTTAGAATCTGTTTGGTTATTTGGTTATTTGTTTCTCTTGCATTGTGCCGGTATTTCGGTCATTGGTTATTTGGCTGTGTTAAACTATATTGTTATCTAAGTAAACTGTGAGTATAAAATGAGATATGGTTATGGCGTAGTTGCTTGTGATACTGATAAAAATCTGTATGGGAAAGACTTACTTGATACTCGAAAAATGGTAGACGGGTCCGATACATAGGGAACCCTATCGTGAACGTTATCTCAGTCGGACGGGACTGAGAAGTCCCTTACCAGTAAGGTTTAGAAGATATGGTTCACCTTCATACCGCACGGGGTGTCGAGGTGGTAGAATATTTAGCGCCCATTACCGGACAGGATATGGGGACGATCGGTTAATTGTTTAATTGGATATTGAGTTTACAAGTAGAATGACATCCCTATGGACCCCTATGGGCATCGGTAAGTGGGTAGAAATGTAAAATAATTATTTTTTATTATCTTATATGTGATAAATAATAGTGTATGAATACAAGTTTTCATAAGTTATTGTTATGAAAGACTTGTTACACAAATATGGAATAAATGACTTTCTTTATAGTAAATGAATTTATATTAAATTAAAAGCTCCATTGGTTGTTTTTTTTATTTTTTTACCAATCTTTAATTTTTCGTATTTGTTCTTAGTGTGATATTGTCACTAGGTTAGTGTAGTTCATCCATTCATTAACTATTTTATATCAAAATGACCAAGATCCAGATCCTGATCAACAAGAGGGTTGGAAATAGTTCACCAACCAGACTCCCTTCAAAAACTAGTGAAGGTTGCCCTATGATTGCTTAATTATTTGTTTTTCATTTATTTCTTTGATTTTCGTTTGTTCTTTTAGAAATGACATTCATGTAACCCTATTTGGCATTATAAATTATTGTATAAGGAATGTAAACCCTAACTTTATTATTTCACTTCGGTATTTAATTTATGACTTTATTTTTATTTAAGTTTTGGATCTCTACAATATCATCTCCACAATCTACAGTCTAAATCAAGTATCTAGAAAATAATTCTTCAAGTTCATTGAAGCTCTTCTATAGTTCGGCTTTATGCAATACAAGCCAAACTACTTCGTGTAGATGATATCATAATTGATGGCCCCAGCAAAATCTACGGAAAAAGAACCATGAGAAAGCTCTTAAATAATTAAAGCAAAATCTACCAACAAAAGACTTATTCAATGGAAGCAAAATTTCAAAACTAACCAAAGATATTAAATAGGTAAGAACATTTAATGATAATTAGTTGTGATCAATTAATTAATAATTATAGATAATTCAACAACAATTGGTGAGGATTAGTTAATTTAGTTGGTAAAAAAGATGCTCTTTTTGTGTGTAACGATTTAGATTTGATTATTAAAAAAAAAATAAATAGAGTTTAAGACGAAATGGAATTTTCCAAACAATCAACAGAAGAAAAACAAAATTAAGTTCATTGTGATTAGACTAAAATCTTGGTTTAATATTCGCAAAAATTAATTAATTAATATTTAGAAATACTAATTAATTAATATTTCTAAATATTATATACATGATTGATTAACTCTAAATTTTTCTTAAAAATTATTTAAAAAATAAAATTTAAAATACAGTAATGATATTTATGAATTCTGTCAAAATTAGAGTCGTCTTTCAGAAGGCAAATTATTACTCGTCTTAGTCTTCAACTTTTTGGCATTTTCAGGTTAATTTTGATTGACCATTACATCGATTAATATTCGTTTTAATTCTGGATTATGATTTAATTAACATTTAAAAAAATAACAAATCATGATTAGGTCACGAAGGGGACCATGTCTGTCAACTTGCAGGAGATGTATATCTGTTACTTGAAACCACGTCAATCAACACGTGCACAAATACAATTTCATCACGTGTTCCTAAAATGTGTTTTTGTGGAGGTGGGCAGAGTATCATTGTCAGTGATTTAGATTGCAGGTGTCACACAGTTAATTATAAAAGATTTTTTTTTTTTTTTTGTCTTTGACTAACTTGATTTGAACAAGTAGTTTATATATATATATATATATATATATATATATATAATATTGTATTTGTTTATGTTTTCAAAGGTTGCGTGTTTTTCTAGACATTATCTTGATTTGAAATTTGGGTAGATATATTATTTTTAAGTTCTATAATATTTATGTGAATTACTTATTTTTTACTTGAAGATAAAGACAGGGTTAGTTCTTTACATATATAAGATAATGAATTTCTATGTATTTTGGTTAAAATTTACATTTTCGTACATATGTAAAAGACATATAATTTTATATTTAATACATAGTTAAATTAATTTAATTCGTATATTTATTTTTCACGTTAATTTTATATATTTGTTTATTCGTGAAGGAATTGTAAAAAAAATATTTTATTTGAATTAAATATAAAATTAATTCAAAATTAAAATGTTACTTTTGTTCTAATTTTTATCTTAATTTCATAATATTTTCATTAATTTCTATTTTATGAAATTTAAATTTGTAGTCACGTTGGAATACAATATTATCTTACTATATGATGAAATAATGTAAAAAATAATCAACTTGTAACTAATATTATTTAAAAGCAAGTTATTGTATTTAAGTTAGCATTAAATTGAAATACTTTATGTTGGTCTTAGTTAATTTTGAGTTATGTTTAAGTATAGTTTATATTAAGCGAGTGATGACTATTTTTTTATATTTGATCAATTTAAAATATATTTAACCAAATTCTTAACATGTTATCTTAGCATATTGCAAGCAATTTAAAATATATTTAGAACAGTTGGTATGAAAATCAACCTCTAAATTATCGGCTCCTTTAATATTTATTTTTCAATTCGGACCAAGTTATATTTGACTGAGTTGTTTAATCTAGATTGAATTGAATTAAAGAGGTTTTAATATAATACTCAGTTTAGAAAAATTACTGATTCCTAAATATTTAAAATTTATTAATGTACTAAACAATTTGCAGAAGAATTAATGTTCATATTATTAGTTATTAAATCTATCACATTATTAAATAAATATGATATTCAATAATTTTTTTACTATTATGCTCTGAAATCCTTACATATCTTCACAAGAATACATATGTTACCTTTTTTTATTTCTATAAGCTCCTTAAAGCTCCAATTAATTTTTTAAAAAAGTTATTATTTGACTTGAACATAAGAGAATTTACATTTTTAAAGTTTCAATTTTCTACTGATTTTTTTCATTTTTAATTCCAAATAATTGAGACTTAAATTTTCTCACCGTGATAATACAAAAATATCCATTTACTATATCCGCCTAATTTATCGGTAAGTAATATATATACGTATAAGAGACTTATGGTGAAATATATATATGTATATATATATAATATATATATCCAAAAACGACTCGTTTGGGTTGATAAGATAATGTTCGAAACTCATCTTATCAAACTTGTAACTTAATCCAATATCTAGTCGGTAACCTTTTATATATTGGTGATGTATTTTTTCACTAATTGTGGATCTAATTTAGGCCACTTCATATTGTAAATCTACCTAACCAAATAGTGGATCAGAATTGTTTCAATTGGAAGAGTAACAGCAGAAATCATTTGGGTATATTTTGTAATTTTAAACAATTTGGAAAAAAATCTTCACATGAAAATTTTCATGAGAATCTTGTTGTACTTTCTAGGTTTAATTTTTAATTTGTAGGTTCTGAACTTTTTCATATGCTATTCCTCCGGACCACAAGGGCACCAACCCATAAACCTTGTCCTACTCATGATTGTAAAAGGCAATATAATGACAGTTCCAACCTCAGAAATGGTTCTCTTCTCTAGTTCTAATTAAAGAGAGATCCTGGAGAATATGGGTAACCAAATAAAAGCAAAATATTTTAGACCACACGTACATTAGAAAGCTCGTCCTTCAGATATTTAGAAAGATTATTTGTAGAGTTATTTTAACTATCTAAATTGATGTATCGTTAGTAATATTCCAAAAGTAAGATCTTAACTATATATAAAAATGATTAAAATTGATTAACAGAAAACTTAATTTTGATAAATAAAGTTGGAACAAAATATCTTAACATCCAAAGAAAAGTTTTTTTTTTTTTTTAATTTTTTTTTTTTACGATCATCTGTTGAGAAAACAGATTTAAGATGATTGTGGGAAATACAAAGAGTGAAAATTCTCAATGTACAAAGAAACGTGATAAATTGCACCTATAAATTTGATCAAGAAATAACTTTTTTTCCCTGCAAAAAATAGGACAACAATAATAAAATACTACAGAAAAAAACGGAGCTCTTCAGAGTTTTTACCAAAAAATAAATGCTAAAAAACTTAATAGCAAGCAAAGAAGAGAAAAATCAAAAGACCAGATTTTAAGAAAATGGATTTGATATCAAAAACTTCAGTTATCATCTTCAGCTTAGCAGCCAGTGCAGTAATATGTAATTTATATATACTGTCAGATATAAAACCTAGCAGTGAATACAAGTCACTGTAACTTAAATTACTAATTACCATTAGACTCAGATAAAAGCAGCTTAGAAAGCTGTTTCCATAAATCTAACTGTAGAACTAGAAGCCAAGTCAACAGTACTAGCTATACTCACCAGTAAAAAGTTACAATAGAATTTACCTCAAATTTTGGGAGCAGGATAGAAAGAAAATTCCGATGCTAGATCATGATCTAATAGTAAAAAATGAAACTAAGGCAGTACCATAAAAATGGATGAATATCAGTTCAGTTATGAGCAAATAATAAACATGTCTGCATATTACCTGTACCCATTTCGTTCCATGGTCAACTATTACCTCAATAAAGTTCCCAAGTTCATTCTATAATTAGCCGCATTTACAAATGCAGTACATAATAATGGTAATAAGACAGATGTATTTCATATCTTTCCAGGTTTTAATCTACAATGAGCTCCATCATTAGGTCCTCAGTTGTGAAGCATTAAAAGTCAATCAACATACCTAGACAAATTTGGACCTCCCAGTCAACTATAAGAGTGCCTTTAGATATCAAGGAGCCGAAATAGATACGAGATCAACGCCCAACTCAACCTACATTTGCAAAGGAATTTTTACTGTGGATATTACTGTCTTCCCTTCTTTGTGCTGCAAGAAGGGCATTTGTACTGCTTGATACCTTCAGCCTTGGCCGGTGTTATCTTCACACACTTTCCATGATACCACCGCTCACAGATGTCACAGCAAATCCAAAACTCATCATTAGTGTAGTTACCTCCACAGCTCCCACAGAGGGTTTCACTGTGCTCGTCTTCCTCATCCTCGTAACTTTCATCAAGCAATTTTGGGTTGTTTCTTACCTGACCATCCAGTGATCTCTGAATATGACAAGGAGCACCAAGAACCAGGAACCCAAAATCAAGATATGATTTAGGGAATAAAAGATATTAAGTTTTAGCAGTAACTATGCTTCCTATCAATCTGACTCACTGAGGAAATAAAAAATTTCACCTTTGTTCCATTCCTAGATTTGCTTCCAATATCCACACCAGGTTTGTCTTTGATAGGCTTCCTACCAGTCACAACTTCAAAAAGGGTGGGCAGATCATTGATTAGACTAAACAGACGCTTCCTGTCAGGCAAAAACGCATAAAAATTCTCATTGATGGCACAAACAAAAAAGTTTCTTTTGAAATGTTATCATTCTCAAATTCTCAAAACATAAAAAACAGAAGATGCAGAACGTCAGAGCATAACCAGCAGAGACTATCTCAACTACCTGCCATAACCAAAGCCCCAATGCCAATCCCTATTTTCTAATGTGAAGTAAATTATTAAAGTAAACTTGCAGTCTAGGACAAAACATATATATTAGGAATCAGATGTCTCCTCAACGGTGCTACATATCAGAGTAACTCCATTCCTAATGACACATGCATGGTTGTGCAGACATCCATAACAGAGAAATTCAAGTGATTCTAAATGTTAGCTTGACTATAACATTCACTTAAAGTTTTCCCAAGATATTCCTGTTCAGCATAGCACCATATACAAATCAATGGTAAAAGGCAATCTTCTTGGGCCCAGTTAAAAAGTTGACTACCAAGAATATCATGAAACTGAAATTTGAGAAGGGGAATCAACGTGACTTTAAGTTGCCACTAGAAATTAAGCAACGTGGACTTAACAGGATGTAAAGAATATTACAAATGAAAACTGGTTGGAAAAAAGGAAGTAATATGGACATGAATGTGAACAGAGTGGTTTCAGGGCATGGAACCAAGGATCATATTCTCCATTCCACCTAGGGAAGCAATCCCTGTCCTGCCATGTTTCCTTAATGGGAATAAAACCCCGTTTCCAACCCCACCCCAAGTGGGGGTGGAAATTCCCTGACAAATGATTGTTTTATTTGTTTTATATCCTAAATTTAAATTTTTTTGAGAGCAATTATAAAACTATCTTAAAACTTGAAAGTTTTTATCCAACATTCCTATTTAAACATTTAAGATTTCAAAGTTGTTCATATAAAATTATTTTTAGATTTTAGATTCCATCTAAAAACTGAACATCCAAAACACTCGGAAAACATAATGAAAGTATTTAATCATTCAATATACAGATACTATAGACACATCTATTATATTAATTTCACAAACTACATGGTACACAACAATATTTTATAAAAATTACATAAAATATTATTTGGGGAACAGGTTACTAGATCACCCTCCTAATCGCCATCTATATCAGGGCAAGAAAACTTTCTGTATGTGAAAATATTCTTGTATGGTTTTGAAGCCTGCTCCTAGCAGGTAAAAGTTAAAACTCAATAAGGACCCAGAATGACAGATCCAAATTTACTATCCCTTTCCACCAGTTTCTCTGTGAAGAACAAAGTTAGAATCTTAGAGCCTGCCCACTTGGTCGAGGGTCAAACCTAGCCTGTACTTGAAAATAAGACAAGGAAACTGGTTTTAGGGATTGAGATCCCAAATTGCTGGGTTTAAAAATTCTGGTTTTCCCAGAAAATAAAGAAAAAATATCTCTCTTGTATGCATCTTTGCTGCATTGAAATCTCAAGTTTCAAGAGATGACACAGGTATTCATACCCTACCAACTCTAGTCCTATTCATGCCAGGAAACTGAAATAAACTAACCTTTAGACACTCCTAACTTGACATAAGACAAACCTAATGTAATTTTTCTGAGAGAAAATTTTTAAGAAACATAACTAAAAGAACATAAGAAAAAACTTTATTCAACTAAATCTGGAAATTCTGACAAGCACTAAAATAACCACAATAGCCTTAACCGGTAAATGCAAACTTTAAAGAAGAATAAGGCAGAAACTGCCCTTTTGCTCCTGCACTAAAAATGTATGCTTTTTGTCTCATTTTCCCTTGTCCACAAAATATTGCCATTATGTGCCTCTCTTGTCAAATTTTCCACTCCTATCAGAAGCTTCAAGTCACTTCCATGAATCCTACACAACAAAACTGCTAGAGAGAATACCAAGGGAAAACATAATATGATTATATAAGCCTGCAAAAAGGACCAGCTAAATCAGACTAAACTCAAAACTTGAGCTAAGCAACCCCGACCTAAAGCATAGCATCAAATCTGAGATTAAGCCAACTTGAAGCCACTTAGTAGGGAGGAAAAGTTTGTAAATATAGATGGTTAAAAATACAAAGCTAAAATTACGAGGGCAATGTTAATGATATTACGAAGCAAGCATAATGCTAGTAATTAAAAAATATGATTCAATAAAAGTTCAATAGAACCATAAGGTCAAGATCCTTGATTCAATATTTGGGGTGAGCCAAAGAGCTTGGTACTGGTACCCCACAGATCACAGGCTAGTAGTAGTACTATCAAGCAGGCTTCTAGAGTACAATGAGGTTCTGAATCAAACATAAATTAGTACCGAGGAAATTACAACGAAATATTTGCACCAAGATAAATTTAACCAAATTTCTAATAGAAAAAAGGGGGCGAACTTAAACAAATAGAATGACAGAGACATTTCTTGCGACAAAATCTACAAGGGAAAATAGAAAAATACGATAACAATGTGACTTAGGTATGAAGATAAATTATCAGCTTCTCTGACAAAATGGAGCATAATGTGATTTCTGCTAAATTAAGCATAGCTCATGACTTTTTCCTCACATTAATTTACTTAAAAACAAAAATTTTCCTGCTAGTTGTATCCAGTTTCTGTAGTGACTGCAGTAATGATGCTTGCAGCCCTTTAAAGTTAACTTGATATAAAACTGATATGATCTACCTACTTAGGAAATAATAGATCGAGTTTACAGTTTTATTGGGTGGATCAAGGATTATGGATGAGAAGTAGGTGGATTGAAGCTATATTTGATGTATGTCAGAAGGCAACAGTGATTAGAAGCTGGGGAAATTTGGCGGCTCTTTGGGTGGTGCGAATAGGACCTTTTATTCCAGCACACAATCACTAAGAACATAGCTTCTGGATAGATTTTTGAAATAATTGTATTAAATATGATCTTGGGAGAGAGATCAATCTCAAGAGTATTTATAGACCATAATATAATCCTATAATTAGAATAGGAAGATCAAAAGACTTTAACTCAAAAGAGACTAACACCACTAAAACTAAAACCAATACTCCTAGACAAAATATTACAGACCTACATCAAAAAAAGAAGAAAAAAACAGCCAAACTCCTCCTAATCAAATCCTTTACAAGCTTCTTACTAGTTTGATTTATATTCCGAATTTGTTTCTTCTACATGTAACCACCTTTGATTCTGAATCACGCATTTTATAGGATCATTAGAACAGATGTGAAACAAGAAATTAAAGAAAGTTCATTTCTCCAGGAAAGTCGAAGTGAGACAAATTAGAAAGACAATGACCATCAACAAATTATATCACATATACGAATTTGAAGGGTCCAAACACAACAAATGGAGTATAATTCATATACCCCAATATCATTAAAATGAATTCCAACAAATATTAACGTCTCAAAATGGTTAATCATTTCGCTCAAGCCCCTGGAGCTGAATGGCATAATATGCCCACCTATAAAGCTTTTAAACAGGGTCTAGGTTTCAATCCCCGTGTTACACAAAAGGAAAAAAAGGTTAATAACTCCATACCAGTGCATGAAAACTTCATAAATAGCAAACAAGAAGCAAAACATATACAATTAATGAACTGAGAATTGAAAAGATCTGAAGGAAATTCTAACCGTAAGAACTGCAAAAAGGAAACTCTAATTCTAAGAATTGTAAAGTAAAAGGGCACTGATCACTGAGATAATGACGAATTTACACATCAATTACTCTCTTATAGCTTCTACCACAAGGGAGTAATTTCTAAGTTGGATAATGTAATTTCTCTCCGGTAGATACAGATCTTCTACTACCACAAAGGCTTCAACAAGAAAATATGATACAAATGGAAACCCACTGGTAGGGGTCAAACCAGAAACCTTTTTTATTTCCAAAGATAAGTGGTTCAACACATTACTAGGAAACAAAAATTTGAGTTCGTAAACCTGCAAAAGTTAGCACATCTGTATCTAACCTCTAATACACTTGAAGTAACATTTAATTCAAAAACTTCAGAGCACATAGTGAGCAAAAACTAGGAAAGAACATTTTTACCTCTCATTACGATTTAGCCGAGCACCAAAGTAGAAAGCCACAGAGAGCAACCAACAATCACTGTGCACAGCAACTAGTGAAAGCCAATCCTTTCGTTGCATTCCATCTCTTGCGAAATTGATTCCCAGTGCAGGCTCAGGGAGCTCGGGGGGTACTTCCTCTGCAGGTAGATTCACTTCCCATGACTCATTTGGGTGCCCGTACAGACATAAATTCTCCTTATCTGATGCATAAGAAGCAAAGCAACAAAAAAACATAACCGCATCTTAACCAGAAATCATATCAAGAATCACTCAGATGCACCAAAAGGAGTTTAAACCAATAATCACAAACCCTAAGTTCCGCACCATCCTACCAGAAGAACAATGCTCAAGTTGGTTCAGGACGACGTAAATGAAACGAAGTAAATCAAATCCAAAATAATCAAGCACTCAGACAATAATAACAGCGCAAGATAGACGTTGGAAATGAAGGTAAGACTCAAAAGAGTTTAAATTATATTTCCTATTCCGCTTCTCTCCCCCATCTTCCCCAAAAACCATACATACATTTCCCCATAAAAAAAACAGCAAAGAGCGAGAACGAACTAACCTGGATCGCATTGCGAATAGAAGTCATTGACATCTGGTCAAATTATGGAAACAAGCAAAATCAAAACAGTTGCACCCAAAATTATCAATACAACACGCAAATACTGTCTAACACAGACACAGATAAACGCATACAGATGAAAATTAGGGTTTAAAAAGAGAAAGGGATAGAGCAAGCGAGCAAGCGAGCGAGCGAGCGAGCGAGAGAGAGAGAGAGAGAGAGAGAGAGAGAGAAAGAGAGAGAGAGAGAAAGAGAGAGAGAGAGTGGTCTCACCTTTGGTGAGAGCACGAACGAGAGCAGAGCGACGAGCATTGTAATCCTTGAAGATATCTTCTACAGTGCGAGGATTCGAAGAAACTGAAGCCATCTTTGAATTGTTTGTGTCTCTTCCTATGTATACGCGATATGTGTATTTAGAGTATATATATGTATTATTATACGTATATATATGTAAACAGAGAGGAGATCAGTTGTTACAAAGAGAGATCGGAGACCACATGATCGATGATTTGGAGAAGCAGGCGTACGGAAAGAGCAGATAGACAGGAAACGGAGAGAGGGAAAAAGGTTTTGTCAGTTTGGCGTCAGGCGAGGTTTGGAACTGGAGATTTCGGATTTGGGAGGAAGGAGCTGGTTGCTTACTTTTAGCGCTATTAAAAGAGGCCCTTCTTTGTTTTGGGCCTAGCCCATATTGCTGTAACGTAGAAGATATCCTATCAATACATATATAAAAATAATATTGAAAATTAATATGCTTCAATTTTTTATTTTTTAAAATAATTTTATATTTAACATAAATATATATAATATTTATTTAAAAATATTATAATAAAAATAATGTAATAATATAAATAATATTTATTAATTTATTTAATATCATAATATGTAATAATTATTTATTTATATAATGTGATAATATATAATAATTATTTATTAAAATATTTTAAATATAAAAATAAATTTGAGTATGATTATATTTTTATACAATTTATTTTTAATTTATTATAAACTTTAAAACTATACACTATACAAACTCTCGATCATACATTTTTTCTCATATTTTATTTATTTTGTAAATTTTATGCTAAAAATTAAAGTATGATCATTTTTTCATATTTTGATTAGAATTTTTTCTTTTCATATTCATTTTATAATGTACGGATCGAGCTAACATTAGTTGAGTTACTTAGTTCTATTTAATTCATTTTGTTTGTCTATTTTTAATTCAAATTCAAATAATCTGTGTTCGAGTTTAATATGATATAAAGAAATAAAATTATATTAATAAATACTTAAATAAAATTTATTATAAGCCCAACCCAGAAGAAATTTCAGTGTAAACCTGCTCTCTCGGTATATTATGATATTATTCTTGCATCAGAAGGCAACCCCAATTGCATAGAATGCAACTAGACAGATCTCACCAGGGAATGGCTCCTGAATTCTTCTCTGGTTTCTTTGAACTTTCTTCAATGTTCCTTTTTCTTGAGAAAATCTGTGGTCATTTCAAGTTTTCCAGGGATGAAATGAATGCTGGTACAAATTGAACTGACAAGAATTGATAAAAGACCAGACAAAAATTTCCATCTCAAAATACACAGAAGATGCTCAAAAGGGCTAACTACAGATTATGCATATCATAACTAACACAAGTCTAACCTGAAAAGACCCCAATAAAGCTATTATGGGATTTAACAGGCTAAAAACCAGGGACTATATATATATATATACTACATTTCTACATTATACATCTAAAACTACAAGGAGAAGCATTTTCAAGACAATTCAATTGAGAGTGACTTTGGTTGGAAGGAGTGAGCCCGCTGCAGTTTGTTCCTCCGTTAAAAGGCGCTTGCAAGCAACAAGTTTCACGACAGATTGAGGGGTGAGGTGGTACCTTTTTGAGACTTCTGCAAATGCTCTGGTGAGTACTTGCTCCACCCAATCCTCCACCACCCTCTCCCGGTCAGATAAATATGCAGATACAAGCAGTTGATCCATGACTTTCGAATCAATATCTAACAGGCAGTCTGGTTTCACAAACTTGTGAAAGTTCTCGAGAATACCACCTGATATTTTCTCAGACAATAAGTTGAAATCAAAGGGTTTGAAAATGACATTTTCATCAACCTGTTTGAAGAAATCTTGCAGCCAAGGCTTGGAGTTCTTATAAAGATCTTCAAAGTTTCCATCATTGGTGTCTCGAGATTCATTCTCTTCAGCCGGAAGGTTCAAATCTAGGTTCTTGGTTGATATCCTATAAGCTCGTTTTGCCATCTCTGTTATCTCTCCCTGCTCGGATATTTCATTGATAATAATCAGCTTTCGTTTGTTCACCAAGCTAGAATTCGAACTGCATTTTCTTGTTGCAAAGGATACATTTAAATTGGGGCTACTTGTTTTGTGCCCATATGTGTGTTCAATCAAAATCTGCACCGGCCATTGCTTGATTCTTGAAATCATTTCTTCAGAATATTTCATGGGAACCTTACACGGAAAGAACATCCCTTTATCTCTAACAGATGTTATTGTTGTCACAAAAATTGTATTACTGATGCTGACTTCTCGTCCATGGGAGTCAGAGAACTTACCGGTTCGAATAGCCTGAGACAAGCTTTTCTCAACCAGTGCATCAGCCTTATCCACATTTTCAAGGAAGACAACAGAAAGGGGTTTTCGGCACAATTCTCCCACAATGAAATCAACAACAGTCTTCCCTCTGAAAATCAAGTCATAACCATTCACTTCTTGATGATTAGAGAATTTATATGCAGGGAAAATTCCATCTTGGGCACCTAGATCCACATGGATAAACTTTTCTCTGCTTCCATACATTATGTCTGCAAGTGCAACAGCAAGTTTCCTTTTACTGCATCTATCAGGTCCAGTAAAATTGAACCATATATCACCTCGTGGACTTGCTCTGGAACGTCTACTGTTCCTTGTTCGGCACTGAGCTATTGTCCGACTGATGATACTTGCAGCTTCATCTTGCCAGCCAACTCTTTCGGTGAGAGCTTTGAAAATCATCTTGAAATTGTTCGAATCAAACTTCCCACAGATATCAGGACAAGAAGAAGATGAAGATCGGACTGGAGGATTAGAAACACTCCCATTGGCCAAGTCACCACTTGCAGAGCAACTTGAGAGATCCTGTGTATTCTCTCGTTGATTTTGATTTGTGGGTTTTGTTGGTTCAGTAGTTCCAGGAACTTGAGATAAAATTCCAAGTCCAAGACCCAAATCTGTGATGATGGAAGATGCAGATGTAGGAGATGTTCCACTACCATCAGCCGTGCTTGAATTCGAAAAACTTTTTGGGGACTTAAGGTCACCCGAGTCAAGATCTTTGGGTTTCAAAGGTTTCTCCTGAACTTCAGATGGAGTACTCTGGTTTGTTGACTTGGGAACAATAGAGAAATGAAAACCTGATTGCAATGAAGGCATCTTTTGCAAATTAATGGACATTAACGAATTCTCATTCTTCTGATAATTTTCACTTGCTGCTGTATTTGTGTTGTCATCTGCACGTTTCTCAGTGATCTCTTTCTTGTCTTCAGCAAACCGAAAGCCTACAATGGTCGGAACGTTTGCACTTACTTCACGAGTGTTTGACTCTGGACATGATGAACTCTGTTGGAAATGCTGCTGGCTTGAATCATCCTTTTGCAGTCCTGTAAAGTTGACCCTTGATAACAATCCATCATCTTTGGTCTGCACTGAAGATATAAACTGATTTTCACATAAACTTTGTAAAGCTCCCGAAAATAACAATTTTCGAGCTGCACATTGTTCAAATGAAAGAGGTCACAGAAAACAGTCAACCATACACAACAAGATGATAATGCCGAGCCAATAAGTCAATGGTTTCCCTATCAAAACTATTTGACTTGTGACATGTTTAGTGATTGAAAATCTTTTTTTCCAGAAACTCACACTTCTTTTACATGATTAACAAATTCTTCGCAACAAGCAATCAGAAGTTTGAATCTATATACTATAGAGAGCCATGTTCTATCTAGGTAAGGAAAGTAATGGAAATCATCTAGAAAAACATCTAAGCATCCAAATTTTTCAGCTATTTTAAAAACAAGAATCGGCACATTCAACAAAACATCTTTCCACTAACATCAGATAATTTTGCGAGGGATACAGACCTTTGCACCCATATCCTTGTTTGTACCAGGTTCAGATGTCTGCAACCAAGGAGGTAAGCTAGATTGGTATTGATCCGATACCCACGCTGCAAATCTCTCCTTTGACACTGCAATTACTTCTTGCTGAGACTTCTCATTGCATTGGGCTGCACTTTGATACAAGCCATTGAGAGGTCCTTTTAATTCAGAAGGCAGTGAAAAGAGCCCACCAAATGGAACAAATGACTCCATCAAACTGCAAATTGCATTGACAAATGAAACTAAGCAAAAACAAGCACAAGCTAAGAATCGTGGGTGAATGTCAATTTCGTGAACCCAAAAAGATATAGCATCTGTACCAAAAACAGCCAATATGCAACTTCGCATGAACTTTTCCAACATATCCACACAAGGATTTCTTCAACCCAGACCCTAATTAGAACAAAACATAATTCTGCCATAACAATCCATTACCTGATTATACAAATTAATATTTTTTTTCTTTTTCCGATGAAAGACAGAGTGACTGGTTTTTAATTGATTCCTCCTTTAAAAAAACCTATTTGTTTTTTTCCTCTAAGAGAATTCCCATCTATCTATAATGAAATTTACAAAAGATTTTCACAAGGTACTAGATGTACATCGATTCTTAAAACTCAAGGATCTTAATAAAATGAAATAAGAGTCTTCCAACAATGAAATCAGACTTCAGAAGTCACGAGTTAGAGCAAGACAACAAATAAACATTTGAATTCAGGCAAAAACTCGTCCTCTACGTGAACTGAAGCCCTCAGAAAAATAAACTAATATCAATAGAATTACTTAGTTTCACAGACAAGTTAGAGCAACTTATATCAATGGAATTACCAAGCTTCACAGACAAGTTAGAGCAACTAATATCAATAGAATTACCAAGTTTCACAGACAAGTTATAGAGCAAGAGAGTTTTTGAAAAATTGGATTTCAGAAGCGGACACCAAATCAAATAATAGTAAGTTTCCAGTATAATAATTTTATAAGCAAAGCTAGCGAACCATATATGAAGCAATAACAATAAAAGTTCACAAATTGGGAAGACAAGCATGCTATTTTCTTTTACCTTGATCTTGGGTAAGATTCAGCCAAACAAGGCCTAAGAGAGGTGATGGGCAATATCTGCAAATCCCAGTCCTTCTCTAACGAAGGAAATCTTGTCACAAACTTCAAATAAATCTCATAGCTGGCCACTGCACCCATCAACCACACTTTACTTCCATGAATCTGCATCAGCTTCGTCAACTTTCCAACAAGATAACTCACAGCTTCTTTTAATCCGCCACTAACGTCGTTATTACTGTTATCATCACCACTGTCGGTGGTGTCGTTATTACAATGATCACCATTAACAAACATCTTCAAGTCGCCATAATTGACCACAAACCCAGGTCCTGAACTCTGCGCTGCAATCTTACCCATCTGCTCGAATTTCGAATCGATGAAACCTCTGTCAAAATTCTCCTTAATCTGCTTCGAAATTTCATTTTCGATGCTGATTATGTTCAACCCGCAAATCCTTTGCGGCAAAAGTCCGTTCTCTTTCTTCTCCATGCTCTGTATAAACCCGTTAAGTGTATCATAAGCGCATACACCCATGAGCAGGGGATTCCTTCCCTTTTCTCTCGCTAAAACCTCTCCGACCCTCCTGCTGTTCTCGTCTCCATGGAAAAACGCAGGAAATCCCGAGAAAGGGAAGCTGAATCCACGTCGACTCGGGTTGGGACCCGGGTCCGGATTTTCGCTAAGGTTGCAGAGAAACAGAGGGGGGCCACGGTGGCGGGGATAGCGGAGGAGGTGCGGAAGTGGGCGGGTGATGGCGAGCTTTATCTCGGAGCTCCGAAAACCAGCTTCCCCGAACACCCGACTAACCACCGGGTCATCGAGGATTGACAGAATCAGCTGTTGAAGCTCCACCTTGATGCAGGAGATGGAATTTTGGTTCTGCTGCTGCGAGATTTGGTGGTAGAGATGGAAATTCTCGGGGTGTCTCCTCTGATTAGCCTGCGACCTTTTTATAGCCGCCATGAGCGAGTTCGACACGGGCGGGTCGTCGCTGAGTTGACTCGACGGAACTCGGTCGAGCGACACGCTTAAACAGAGCTCCAGAGCCTTGAACTGTAGACGCGGGGAGTAAGCAGTGTTGCGCGCACGCGCGCAGGCATCGCGTAGAGCCGAGGGAGAGAGTGAAAGAAGTGCAGACACCGCATGAAGCGACGTCGTTTGAGCGTGTCCCCTCCTTCTCGCCACCGCCACAGCTTCATCCAGCGCGTGGACCGCGTCGGGAGTCAAGCATTGCCTTGCTACACTCACCGGCGTTGGCATCGCCGGCAATCATACACACCCAAAAGATATACAATAAAATATATATATATATATCAAGGAAACATATAATTAAATGTACGATTAAGCTTATTTGTTGAATAACTACAAGTAATAAGAATAAGAATAGTTAAAAAATAAATCTGATATTTTTATAATAATGAAAATAGGTTCTGGTTTTTGGAGATGAAGGAGGGAGAGAGGTGGGTTTTGATTTATTTATTGTCATGGGGTAGGGAGGAGGCACTGTGAGGAGATGTTGGGTGGAGAGGTGGTGGAGGTGGTGATAGGTGGGGCCACCCATGGGCCCACTAGAAGGGAGGATGAGCATAGATTCTGTTATATTACATAATACAAGTGTAAATCTTGAAGATCTTTTCTGTTGTGTTGTGGGCATAGAGAGAGAGAGAGAGAGAGCGAGAAGGGGAGGAGGAAGGGGGAAGATGCTGAGTCCACTGACTTTTAGTGGGCCAACAAAGACAGTCAATATCACTGTCTGCTTACTTGTAAATTGCAATGTATATTTGTATATATATATATATATATTTCTGTATGTAATATATAAGTTATTATATTTATATAGATTAATATGGGCAATTAGTCAAATGGGTTGAGTGTAAATAGAGAAATAAAATAAAAAAAAAAAAAAAGAAGGTTGCTTGAAATTGTAAAAAGATTGAAAATGACAAATGGGGATGAAGAAAAAAAAAAGGAGAATATAACATGACATAACCACCACCATAACCATCGATCACCACAAACATACCGTTCATTATTATCATCATCATCACCATCACCATCACCATCACCATCACCATCACCATCACCATCACCTTGGAATATGAAAGACTTTTGTACTAAGGTGGACTCCCTTGACTCTCCTTTCCTTCTTCCAAAAGGGAGAATGAGTAAGAGAGAAAGAGGAAGCAAAGGCATTTTCAGATCTTCCTCTCTCTCTCTCTCTCTCTCTCTATATATATATATATATATATATATACATATGTGTGTGTGTGTTCATATATATATATACATGTAATTACACTCCAAAATTTCTATCCTTTATTAAGTATTGAGTGAATTTCACACATTTATCTAACTAGATTTTTTATTTAGTTGTGTGATTCTTAACTTAAAATAGAGATTTAAATTTTAATTTTTAACTAAATTGTTGGTACATTTTTTTCAAATTGTCCAATATCCTATATTTTTATTAAAAAATTATGATTCATGCGAATATCAAATAATTCATCAAAAATAATTTCAAAATTGTCAAGATTTTGACAAAATTTTGGTAAGTCTTTTTTTAAATATGGTGTATTCTCATGTATTCTTATAAAAAAATTATATTTCATCCACCTATCAAACAATTCATGACAAGGGTATTTAAAATTATCAAGATTTTGATTAAATTATTGATTTTTTTTTCAAATAGTGTATTTTCGTATATTATTAATAAAAAATATGATATTATAATTACATAAATATTATATAATTAATAAAATATTATAATATTTATACTTTTAAAATAAAAAAGAATTAATTACATGTATAAAAAGAATTTAATGATTGAATGACCTAAAATTTTTATATCCACTTTAATTATTTTAAAAAACAAAGATGTGGGCCTCCCTCCACCAAAGTTCCTTTCCATCACTCTCTTCTCCTCTTTCCATAACAGTTAAGTATAACCACATTCACGCACATAATGAAGATATATATATATACATATATATGTATGTATGGGTGCGTATGTAAATCTTGTGTGTGTGTATATATATATATATATATAGAGAGAGAGAGAGAGAGAGAGAGAGAGAGAAAGGTGTAAAAAGGTGTTTGATTTAATGTGTTGTTTTGTTGGTACATAATTTGTCCACTTATGTAAAACCCTTTTCAGCTTCTTTTTCCCAAAATACCAAACAGACTCTTCCCTCCCTAGATGTCACCTTTTCCTCCATTCCTATTATTCTATTCCTCACCCTCTAATATACATATACATATATATATATATACATATTTCTAATTTTTTTTTTTTTGTGAAAGCTTTTTTTAATTTGTTATTTACAAAGGTCTACAACTATTTCACTCATTGAGTCAAAATCTATATTATTTTATTCAAGACTTTGTAGTAAAATTTTTTTTATTAATTAATACCTGCCACTCAACACTTCTTTCTATTACACAGATTCTTTCTATCATACCCATATTTATATACATATAATCCATATGAATGTACTCACGTTAAAAATAAGAACCATTTATTGAATTAAAAATTTTATTTTTATTTTTTTGGGTTTTAAATTAAGATATTGGACATGAAAAAACATTTAGCCTATATGTTTTCATGCACTGAAGAGAAAATTCATTTATAGTTTATCTTAATCTCTTTATGTAAATGACCAGAACTTAATTGAAATGAAAATATTGAATTATGGCAACTATAAGCAAAAAAAATTTAGAATTTAGGATTTATATTCCTTACACAGTAAATTATGATGCCACAAAAATGTCCATTTTTCAGCAGTTCATAGTAATTGAATAAATGGTCAAACAAACGAAATAAAAATTCAATAGGGTTAATATCTAATAGGCAACTTTGATGGGATCCAGGAAGTAACCTTTATTCGTAACTCTTCTGCTGTTCAAAATGTGAATTTTGGTCTTCTTAATCTGAAATGATTAAATAAGAGAATAAGCAACACAAACTCAGTAAAAATATCATGCTTATCACCAATAAAGAAAATTGAAGGTTGGTAAAAAGAATCATAAAACAACCAATAGAGCTATTCACTTTCTTAAATAAATTCATTTAACTTAAAAATTGTTATTTCATACTTAACCTTATGAATTTCTTAAATAAATTCACATCATCAACCAAACACTAGCATCATACCAACATCATATTTTTACCAATCAACATGCAGATAGACAACAGGTAAACCAATTAACAGTAAGTCATGCAAATAAATAACACGTAAACCAATCAACAATAAGTCATGCAATTTATACAATACGTAAATTAAGGAAACATAATTAAGACATTTATTACAAGCGAATCAACCAATGAAGACAACACAGTTTGATAAACTAAATAACCAATAAGACAATTAAAACTAGTAATTTAAAGTACACGATATGACAATAAATATTTTAGGCAATATAGGAGAAAATAAACAACAAGCTAGGGCAGATATACACTGACCGGTTCTGACCCATTAGTGATCTGCAATTAATTTTAGAGTTTTTTAATTTTTATAAAACATAGCATTATTGATTATTAAACTTCAGTTTACCATAACATAAAAAAAGGTGAGGGATTCTTACCATGGATTAGTGTATGAAATACTGCACTTTTCACTGTGCCTCCTGGTGAGCCCCGGGTTTTCTATATTTTTTTTTTACGAAAATTAAAAATACCTGTCATGTATCTAAAAATATCCCAAAATGCCAAAATAGGTGTTTTAAAATTTTTTCGACCAATTTAGGATTCTGGCACGACGGCGGTTCCTCTCGGCCTAGTCATTTTTTGCTGGTTTAGGCTGGTTTTGTATGCAAACCTGCGACAACCAAGTTAGGGGCCTTCTGTTGGTCGAAAAAAGCAAAATCGTCGAGTCTCCAGGTGCACCGGCGTCACTGTTCTTTTTGTGTGGCCAAAGTTCTCATTTGGCTAACCTAAATAAAAAAGGACGGAGAACACAACAGTTAAAAAATCACGCGAAACGGGAAGTGAGAAGGGGGTCATCAGAGAGGGTTTTAGATTTTAGCCGTCGCGGCTCGGACGAGCTTTACTTGTGTTTTCTATCTCACCCGTCGACCTTTCAGCTCTGATATGGGTATAGGGAGATTCAGGATTGAATTCTGACTTAGAAGGGGGAAAAGTACATGTTCAGCGTTGGAAGTAACTCCGGTACAGCGGCGACTGTGGTCAGTCTCCTTCTCTGGTGTCTGATTTTTTCCCTGATCGCCCTTCTTCTTTTTCTCCGATCACTCCTCTGTCGACTAGGGTTTTAGTTCCCTACAAAGAGAAGTTTAAATACTCATCTCTATTCGATCCAGACCATCCGTTCAAGTCAACATGGAGTGAGGAGAACCGTTCGATCGTTGCTTGTTTAGGCTAATCATGTGTGCGAATCAAGATCGTTCATCACTATCAATCTCATCCTCCGATTGCGTTTGAAGAGAAAACAGATCGGGGTTGTTCATGCACGCAGAATGCGATTTGGACTGTTGGATCGTCTGCGTGGCCTCGCGCGTGGAGCCGATGTCAACGTGTCCACCACACAGCGTGTTCTAGCTTGCCGTGGCTACTGATGTGGTCGTCGTACATGGCTATATTTTTATTTTTTGCGATTTTACCCTCTATTTTTAAATTTTCTTTCAAAAATACCACCCTTATTCATAATTTCACCCTTTTTTTAGAATTATTTTCAATTTCGTCCCTAATTCTATTTTTCTCAACAATTTCATAAAATTAAATTAAAATAAAGATTAAATTATTTAAATATATAATTTTATTAATTGAAAAATTATCCCTGGCCAAATTTTCGGGCTTGGTTGTTGCACTTTATAAGTCAAACTTTTATATAATTAGTGGATTTTTGTTACATAGTTATACATAATTTTGGTTTAAGGTAAGTTTTAATTTTGACTCTTAATGTAATACCTAGGCTCGAAAATCAGATCGGGATGATTTTGTTATTATTTTATTTATAAAAGAATTATATAAATAATTATTTTATTTTATTTTAATTTTATTGAAGTTTTGAAAAAAAATTGAATTAGGGACGAAATTAAAAATAATTTTGGAGAAAAATGGTCAAATTTTTAATTCGAAAATATTTTTGAAAGAAAAATTAAAAATATGGCGTCAAAATGCAAAAAAAAAAAAAAAAAAGTTTAGCAACTTGGGACAGCCCAATCAGCAGTCCCTGATGAATCAGAGCACATCGCATGGTAACTCCTAACATTGGCACCATGCGGGAAGCCACGCGAGCGATCCGTGTGCTCAACGATCCGACGGCCCAGATCTCATCCCCCGTGCATGAACAGCCTAGACGCATTTTCTCTTTAGGTACAATCGAACAATCAAATTCAATCTGATCGTACGGTCCAGATTCATTCTCCGAATATGATAGATCCAACGGACAATAGAGGGCTACGTCTCCCGAAACAAACGGTCCAGATCAACACGAGATGGATATTTAAGCATCGCGTTATAAGAAACCCTAACTCTAGCTGTCATGCCATTG